CAAAGATGTTGTGTCCGCCGAGAACTAAAAAATAAATATTAAAAAATTCTCTCTCTCTCTCTTTTTTAAAAAAAAGAATTGGAAAGTTAAAATTTATGTGTTAAAAAAGTATGTAATACCTCAATGAATATTGTCAAGAAATGAAAGTCTTGTTCCTTACTTTAGAGGAGATGCTTTCATTTTGTTTTCTCCATTCAGTATGATGTTGGCCTTGAGGTTGTTAAATACAGCCTTTATAATGTTGATGTCAGTTCCTTCTATTCTTAGTTTCTCTAGCATTTTTAACATGAATGGATGCTGGTTTTTATCAAAGCCTTTTTCTACATTTATTAAGACAATCATATGATTCTTGTCCAGATTCTCAGGCTATCCAAAGATCTTGAATATGTTAGAGGTTAAATTTCACCTTTATTAAAATATCATCTCACTAAATATGATGACAAATTTTATTTTATGATGTGACTTTTTTTGGCAAATGTATTACATGGAGGATTATTAATTAATTGCACATTTCTTGGCAATCATATGATTCTTGTCCATCTTTAATTCTATTTATGTGATGAATTACATTTGGTGATTTACATATGAACCAACCTTGCATTCCTTAGATGAAACCCACATGATTGTGGGGTACTATGTAATAAAAAATTTTCAGGATTCAGAAGAATGAGAGAAGCTTGATGTAGAAGAGGATACAGATGAAGTTCTTCCAGAAAATGATATCTGGTACTTGAGAAAGTAGTAATGACATTTGTTAATACAATGAGATCCTTTTTTTCTATACTGTTAATCAAATAAGAAATATAGCAGTCATAGATTTACTTTTTACCCTTTCACATGTAAGGAAAGTGGGAGGTGCAATGATGTCTTTGGTTTGAGAAGGAAATGCTGTCGGTCCTTTGCTTCTAGGAAAACAGGTGGGTTGGTTGGATCTTTATCACCATGGAGACAGATGGTCAACCGTGTTCTTTGGGAGCCACCCCAGAGCTACTTTAGCATCTGTACTGGCCTTGAGCCAAGAAGATTTTGGACTTGCATTGCAGCTGCACAATGGCCATGATCTCTGTCTTTGCTCAGCTAGGAAGTTTGCTCTCCTGTAGCTCAGGAGTTGGGTTGGACAGCCCACCTCCTGTCTTATTTGGTGAAGAACATTCTATGGATAACCTTTGTTTCAAGTTTTCCCATATGTAATAAAGCAAACGTGGGCTCTCACTCCCTCTTTTTTTCCAGTGGGGAAGCTTGACCCCTAAAGTGGTAGGGACATCCACCCCCACTTTCCAAAATTACATCCATGTGTGTCCTGTGGTCTTTTCCTCACCTTCTTTTTTCTTAGCTTTATTTCTCCAGCAGCCTACTCCTCGCAGAGGAACTCCGTTTCCATCACCCATGCGGGATGTGGGTGGGAATGATCTAAAGGCTTGAGAAGCCATTCCTGAGGTATAAATATCTTATGGGAATCCTTCACTCAAATGCCAGTTTCAATTAGAGGTTTTATATACTATAAGCAGAACCATATAATATTTATAAAATTTATAAAACCATAATATTTATAAAACTCACATATCTTCCCACCTTGAATAATGACCATATGATATTAATTTTTCACCAGACATTGAAGAAATGCAGTTGTTGATGTATGGAGTGAATTTGGAATCAATTCTGTAAGGAGCTTAGTGGAAAGCTGATAGTGAATGGTTATTTTGTGGTATCATGAGAATCTTGTACCAATGGAATACTGACACTATAGCTTTTTGACACGAGAGATTTGTAGAGACTGTATTCCATTTCCCAGGATCTAGTGGTGACTATATTTTCCCCTCTTTTCATCGGAGAATTAAGGAGATAGTTGTAAAATAACATGGGATTCAGAACCAACACACTTGGATTGTCACACTCAACCTCCACCCTGTTTTTTTGATGACCTCTGATTCACACTTACCCCAAAGCAAACTGAGAAGGCTTTTTGATTCATCAGGTTCCTAAAAGCTGCTCTGTGGTTATTGTCATTGTTTTTAAGGGAAGAGGGTGAATTCTCTTAGGCCAACTTCAATAGGGAGTTCTTCTCCCAAGGGAAGCAAAGGAAATGTCTCTAATTTGGAGCTGGGGATGGAGGCATTGCCTCTAGGATCTCTCCATGGTTTGTAAAATTATTACACTAATTGTGAACAAGTGTTTATCTATATATCTACGTTGTTTCTTTCACTCTGAAGGGATGACTCTTCTGACCATTGCTGTGGAACTTTGAGCCTTTGGAGACTCTTCTTATTTCACTGCATTTCATGTCTTTTAATGGGAAATGGAAGAATGTTCCCATAGCTAGTACCTGAAGGTAACTGTGCTCATGATCTAATGACCAGTCAGAGTAGGGGTAGAATTGGCAGTTAGTGGTATGATTAAGTGTGTGTGTGTGTGTGTGTGTGTGTGTGTGTGTGTGTGTGTGATAAAGCAGTCAGGGCCTATAGTCTTTATGAGAAAAGTTTGGTTATGTTAATGGCCAGAGAACTTTTTTGACCTCTGTTTCTTTTTTTTTTCTTTTTAGTTGTATATAACCCCAGAATATACTCTGACATTGTCACTAAGTTATGGAACTCAACCCACTCCAATTCAATCCCTGGAACTCCCCCTAACTCCCTGCTCCTCTCCTTCCACTCCACCAATCTCTGTTCAGGAGATTGAACAGAGGAGGAGCCCATGGTGCCACGTTCATGCATGCACCCACGAAAATTCAGTTAGATGGATTACACTGTCTTCCCTTTTCCTGTCCCCTTTCCCTCCCCCTTAATCCTCTTCATCTACTGTACTAATCTTTCTTCTATTTTGATGACATGGATGTGTTTGTAGGTGTGTGTATGCATCCACGTTCATGGAGTGCAGCTGGTTCCTAGACTCCACCTCTCCTCACACACCTCCTTGTGGAGTAATTTACCTTCAACTAAGTGTATATCCAAATTTTGAGAAGATAAGGCAGAATCAAGTTTCCATGTAGAAGAGTGAATCTCTAAATGATCTTATATTTCATTTTTGAGAGTATATTTGTAAAAACATTTCTCCTTTGGTGTACCTTCAACCTCACTAGGTCTTTTGGAAGTTCCTTAAAATTTTATACCAAATCCCTGTAATTTTACTCATATCCTCTGCCACAATCCAGGTTTTATATTGTATTCAACTGCTACCATAACCTCCTATTCAGATTCCTGCTGACTCTATGGCCGTGTTGTAATCTGATCTCTAACCAGCAGACAGACAGCTACTTAAAATTTTTCTTTGCTTTTCTTCAATCTGAGTTTAAGTGAGCTATTTATCTGAGAATAGAATTGAAACAATCTATTTTAGCAGAAAAGTTCTTATAACTGTTCTGAATAGTTCCTCACGCCATAACTTTTTCAGGATGACCATAATCTTGACCACAATCCTTTCTTGGTTCATCAAGGTCTCTTGCCCTGCCATTTACAAATACCTAATTGGAAGTGCCTGTTTTTATATCTGTCATGTGACTTTTCTTCTATTAAGGACTCCTTTTAAAGACCACATAGGAATCAACTTCCTCATCTGCTTGGCCTCTTGTAATTCAATGTCTTTCAATGTCATGACTCTACATTTCCTCCACTTTTATTTCTAGGAAATTGTCCTATAGATATATAGACTAATTGTCAAAATCTCATATGTACATACGTAATTCATATCAGTATTTTTAGAAATAGCAAAAATATTAGAAATAACCTACATGCCCAACCAACAGCTAATTGTGATTTTCATTGCGATAAACTAATAGGTACTCACCTGTTAATTAGTCACATAACTTAATGTATTATTAATCTCAGGTAACAATAGCATATTAACAAAACTTTTAACTTACTTTGCTCAAGAATGTAGAAACATTAAAGAGTTTCAATAAAGTGAGAGAATTGGTACATTAATGCAAATTTTAGTTAACCCCCAAATGGGTGATGAGTCCAATCTTGAAACATCTCTCCAGCTCTCAAAGACAAAAGATGCTCAGAGCGAGTGAGTCTTTATATGATACAGATTCTAATTTCAATAGCTCATCCTGCTCTCTTTTCCTATCATGTTATGATTGTTCCAATGGAAGGTGTAAAACAAACTGACTTGAAGGAGAAAGAGAAATGAATGATTAGCAAAGTAGAAGAAATGTTAAAGTTATGACAAGAAAAGTAAAATTAAGAATCTTTGATACAAGAAGTTAGAAATGAAATAAAGGAAGAGGTTTTATTTTCTTATTCTAGATAGACATTTAAAAAGAACTTCTTCATTGACAGATCCTAGATGTGACTGGAAAAGTTAAATATTTTCTGAGTACTTAAATAGCAATGATTTGCTTTGAGCTCAGGGAACGAATGTGACTGGGAAGTGGAAATTTGGATCAAAATTGTTGAGTGCGAAAGAATTTTCTTAAAGGCAGACCTGATGGATTGGTTACAAGGAATGTCAACAGACATTTAATGTTATTGGCATAGATTCTTGCCCTGGATGACCTTCATGGACTTGCTACAGATGATATGTCCACCAACTCCACAGTTCCTGATATCTTGTAGATCCAAAGCAGCCACTGGATTCTCTTCAATTGATCGGATCCCTGGAATTAAAGCATTAGCTAACTGTGTTTAAGAGGAATGGAGAACGTTAAGAAAGGCCAACAAACCATTAGTGTTTATCTACAAATTTTCTATTAACTAGTTACTGACCTGGCCTTGCAACTAACCCTAATCTCACATTTCCATCATGGACTCCTCAAGTGGGTATGATCTGATGATATTCAGATACTTCATGCTTTCTTCAAATATATTGTGTTGCTTTCTAGGTATACAAATAATATCCTTTTTTTCTGAGCCATTACTAGTTTACTAGTGTGGCAAAAGCTCACCATATACAATTAAAACACACATACTAAGTAGTTGAAAACCCTGCCTTAATTTTGTAATAGTTAAAATCACTTCTCATTCTTTCCCATTTCCATCTCTTCTTCTTCTCCAGCAAAAGAGAGGAAGAGCATGAGGAGGGATAATCAGAGCAGCGTGTCCGAGTTCCTCCTCCTGGGGCTCCCCATCCAGCCAGAGCAGCAAGGCATGTACTACGCCCTGTTCCTGGGCATGTACCTGACCACGGTGCTGGGGAACCTGCTCATCATCCTGCTCATCAGGCTGGACTCTCGCCT